TTACGGGCGTCAGGCGAAGTATCACAGAAGTCAACACTTTTGTGATTATCGGAACTAAACTAATCCCACGGTGGTTAGCGCAGTCGTTGCGTGATCCCTCCTTGAAGATCGGGACGATCAACGATTCACCCCAGGACGAAGGATTAGGCTCCTCCGTCCAAATGCTGAGAAGTAATCTAGTTATTGAGTCGACAAGAGAATCACCGACAACCTTGAAAAGATTAGGGAGAAGCTCATCAGGTCCGGTTGCCTTTCCTTTCTGGAGCATGTTAAGGAATGAGATTGAGTAATAGGGAATACAGTGCTCTTCATGTCTGGCCTGTAACTTTGTCAACGGAGAGATTTGTTTCATCCTCAGCGGTAGCCTACTCATAAGTAGCGAACCCCATTCCGAGACCAGAACGAAAATTCCTCCAATCCTTAAGCTGTCCAGTTTACCCAACAACTAGATAGAGTTGTGTGTTAGGTGGCTAGCGACACTAGAATAATACCGTCATATAGAGAATACCAGTTTAAGGGAACAACGCGAAGAATGTGAAGCATATATATGGAGAATCGGTGGAGGTCAAACGTGAATCCCTTCCTTGTTTATTCTCACCACATAAGCTTTCTCGGTTTGTCATGTTTGATCAGATGCAAGCCTATGAACAGGCCTGAAGGTAATTGAAATTTTTGACCAATGGACTCAGTCAAAGATTTCTTGTTTGACCTCTTAATAAGTATTTCAAGCTACCATAAGATTTGATTGCGCATCTTTAACATTGGGGCTTGTGTATGTGTTCGCTTTATTTCCGCTACATTGTTTCTCTGTTAGTTAACTAAATCCTTTTTTTATTAGAAACCATAAGAAACATTCCAGCAACGGAAAAATGCATTGCTTAAACGTCTTATGAACTTGACGTCCCACGTAGATGATGATCAGAAATCCTGAGCAATACAATCGATTGTAAGATACCTGAAGAAACGTGGAACCACAAGTACTTATACGTGCTTTTATTGTTGTAATATACGAAAATTTAGAGTTTGAGAAAAAGGAGAAGCATACACTGGCACATCGTTCCAAGAATCGATACATTCGTTCTGTATGCTCCATTTATTCACGTGATATTCCTGGAGGGTGTGTTCCGCGCACAATCGTTCATCCCCACGGCCTTATCTCCAGCTTGGTGCCTCCTTTCCTTTATTAGACACCGCTGTGGACCGGTGCACGTGATTTTCATTTCACGTGACAGTTTCGTAAACAACCGTGTTGATTGTTGTTTTTGTAGAACATGTAGGGACATGTACCGTACATGTCCCTACCGTACCTAGGCCCTTCTGGTTTTCAGAATGTACATTTACTTGTGAATTGATTATCTACGGATAGTGGTTTTGGACTGGTGCCACCTCAAAACTATGTTCAATACCCAAATTTTCTGGTTATATTTCATGGTTTTGTAGTGGCGTAATATAATGATGCGCTTATCACTGTTGCTTTCCCTTGTAGAC